TCTTTCAAATCGAGGCAATCTGATGTGTGTCTATGAGAGCAAGAATAAGGTGATTCTGTGTCTTGTACCCACACCCCAAGGCCTACCGCACCCCTGATTCTCCCCGGGGACTGAACAGGCAGGTTTCAGCTTGCATCAGACTGGGTGATGTTTCCTTCACACCAGAAGCCGCTTGAACTCCACCTTTTCTCTGTTCCTTTGAGTGTCTCTCGCTGTTCAGCAGCATGTTTTATTAACCCTTCTGCCCGATGAGTTTTTGACTCTTCTCAAATCCCCTCATTAGGGGCAATTCCTGGGCATGAACTTGACCACCAAAGCAGGCGCCCTGTCCCTGACCCCTGCCCTTGCCTTGGCACTCGCAGGCTTTGCCCAAGTCCGGTTTCCTTCTGCCCCTCTTGCCCAGGCTCCTAGAAGGGTGGTGGCCTGACCTAGAAGAAGCGTGATGGGTCTGGGGACACGGGGCACGGAGCCCCCGACTCCTGAAGGCCTCTTGGCGTGCAGTCCCGACACACAGAGCGCTCCACCTGCTGAGAAATAGGGCGGGCCCTCGGAGATGACTCACCGCCCGCTGACTCAATCTCATGTCCTCAAGGGCCGGGACTTGTATCTATGCCATCACCAGGACTGGCACAGAGCAGGCCTTCAGTAAATGCCAACTGGTTGGATGAATGGGTGGGGGGATGGACAGGCGGACAGACAAGTGAGGACAGGCTCCCCTAAGCCCTCTGAGCCGTCTCCTCCTAGGCCTCATCACCCTTTATGCAAAACAAGATCATTAAGTTAGGCCCCCTCGGCTGCTTGCAATGCTCTTGCCCTCAACTTTCTGTGTCTGGGAATTCAGAACTATGGGTAAATAGAAAGCTTCACTTGTGTGGCTTGGTTCTGATTTGATTTAGGTGTTAAAACTTTCCTTTTTCTCCTGGTGGAATGCAAACTAGTACAACCACTATGGAAAACTGTTTGGAGGTTCCTCAAACTGCTAAACATGGAGCTTCCCTATGACCCAGCAATCCCACTCCTAGGTATCTACCCAAAAGACACAAAAACACTGATTGAAAAAGATACTTGTACCCCCATGTTTATTGCTGCTTTATTTACAATTGGAAAAACATGGAAACAGCCCAAATGCCCAAAAGTAGATGACTGGATTAGAAAGGTGTGGTACATATATACAATGGAATATTACTCAGCAACCAAAAAAGAGAAACACATGTCTTTTGCAGCAACTTGGATGGAGCTGGAAAAGATAATGCTTAGTGAGATAAGCCAGAAAGAGAAAGAAAAATACCGGATGGTTTCACTCATAGCAGGAGTATAATGGACCAGGCGAGAAAATAACAAAAATAATGAACAACCATAGACCAGAGACATTCTGTGGGGGTGGAGTGGGGAATGGGATCAAAAACGGGGGGGGGGGGAGGGAAATGCACGGGACTATGGTGGTGGCACAGGGGTGATTTGGTGATGGGAAACCCGTGGGGATTACAATTGAGATGAAAAAACAATGTGCAAAATGATGTAAAAATAAACTTTTTAATAAAATAAAATAAAAAAAAAAACTTTCCTTTTTCTCTCCTGTAGGGTGAGGAGGCTGGGAAGAGGTCATCTAACTTCTCTCTGAATATTTCAATGATGCTTGACAAGTTCAAAGTGGGGAGAAAGTCAGACAGCTCAGGGCTTAAATCTGGTTTTGCCTCTTCCCAGCTGTGTGACCTTGGGCAAGTGACTTCAGCTCTCTGATCTTGGTCTCTACATGTCGAACACAGGGATTATGATGCATTTCGCTGGGCTGTGAAAAAGATGAAATGAGATGATGCAGACATTAGCACAGTCTGGATGTCCGCGTCCGCTAAATGGTGGTGGTGGCTGGGGGGAACCGACTTCTGGACAGTGCTGTCCCCCAGCTCGTGTGCGTGGAGGAAGCAGAGCGCAATTCAGCAGAAGGGCTGACTTCGGGCCAGAACAGCTCCAGGAAGAATCCCTTGCGAAGAGGAACTTATCTCCACCTTCCTTCCGATCTGAAACTCAGGCACAAGGCTGAGACCAAGCAGCCACTTGGGATCGTGAGGAGACTTGGGGGCAGAAGCAGGAAAGGAGCCTGGACCCCCGACTGCCAGGCTAGGCGGCCCCACACCGCTGAGCTCGGTCTCCTTTCTCAGAGGAGAGACTTTTCGTTTTCTGTAGATCACTGTGATTTAAGTTTTCTGTTTCATGCCAGCAGACCTAATCTTAATCATCCCCACTTTGCAGACGACAGAAAACGAGGTCAGGACAGGCCCACCCCCCCAGCCAGTACGAGTCAGCTGCCCGTGGCCCCTGCTGCTGGCTCTACGAAGCCCTTTGCCACCCACAGCGGAACCCCCACCTATCTGCGTACACACTGGTAGACATGATCAGAGGCAGAGGAAGGAGAGGTGTGTCATGGGGCCTCACACAGGGGCCCCCCGCAGGGGCTGGTGTTTACGTTGAGGTTCGAGAGTGAGCTAGTAACCAAAGCTGAAACCCTCAACTGGCCCCTCAGACAAAAAAAGTCCAGGATGCCAAGTCCCAGATGTTGGCAAGGCCCTTCCACGGAGCCTGGCTGCCGTGCCGTGCCGTGCCAGGGATGCACCAGACGCTCCAAGGGCACCCCAGGCCCGGGAAACCTCCCAGGGCCCAGCACCCACCGCTGTGACCTGTTACAGCTCAACAGAGCAGCAAAGGCTCACAGGGGAGCATCCAGGGGAATCAGGCTGACATTTTCAGGATTCCCCCAGCAGAGTCTCACAGGACGCCCTCAATTCCTCCAGCACGAGGAGGCTCCCTGGGGGCTCGCTAGGGGCAGTGGTGGGGGCAACCTCTCCCCGCTATGTACCAACATCCCAGCCTACCCCACGAAAGTCAGGGCTCAGCATAAACCCCATTGTTTGCACCCCGACTTGGCCAGGAGGAGCCTCTCTTATTGGGGCATCGAGCCTGAGTTCCCACATGCCAGGCCAGCCCAGGCCAGACCTGCAGGCAGGCCTTCCCTAGGCCTGCGTCAGGCCCGCTGTGAACACTTTTCTGCTCGGGGAATTACCTTTCTCCTATTTCTCGTTTTAAAGAGATCCAAGAAAGAGCTTTGTATGCCTTAGGCCCAGGTTGTTGAGAAAAACCTAGGTTATTATGGAGATAATTACAACAAGTTTCCTAGAAAATTAACCTGTGTCCTGCAAGAACCCATGGTGGGAGGAGGCCAGGGCGGTGGCCGGGGGGACAGGTTCTAAGAGCCTGCAGGGCAGCAGGCTGGTCGTGAGCCCACCTGGCCCCAGGCCCTGAACTCAACTCAAGTTCAGCTCAGTCCAGCACGTCCCAGAAATGAGCTCAGTTTTCTCCTCCATGACCTGCAGGTGAGGGCTGGACTCTGTATCAGGGAGCTGCTGCCGCGTGGCAAACCATCCCCGAGCTGCGGGGCGGGCGCTTGGGCTGGGCTCAGCGTGGCGGTTCTTCTGGTTCCCCAGGCTCACCCGCCGGGGCAGCAGGTGGTGCCCGGACAGTTGGCCTTTGTCCAGGCAGCCTCCCCCACGCCAGCAGCAGGACCCAGCAAGTTCTCCTGGCAGCTGAGCAGGCGGTGGGAGCTACAAGCCTTGTTGCAGCCCAGTCACGTTCTAATGATCAAAGAAAGACAAAAGGTCACGGAAATAGGCACCCTCTGTCCATCTGAGGAATGCCAACACCTCAGCGCCACGGCCGTGGATATGGAGAGGGGTGGCAAGGGCAGTTGAATTTCGCCTCGTCACACACCCCCATGTGCCTGTCATCCTTTCTTTTGATCATTGCACACTGAGCTCCCTCTGTGTCCCCTGCGTTTGCCGGCCGCAGGGGCTCAGGCGGGACCTGTTCTCGTGGAGCCTCCAGGCTGGGGGGACGGAGCTACCCGCCCGTGCCACACAGTTCCAAGGAATGAGCACCTACTTTTGGCCTATTTCCTCCCACCACATCTTTTTCCACAAAGGACTTGAGTCAACCTGCCAGGAAAGACACGAGCGATGAAATGTTAGCCCAAGAATGAAGACCCAAAAGAGCACCCACTATTCCTTAAGCATCTTACATACTACCCCTTCCCCTTTCTCTGCTCCTGAGATATAATGTTTTTGAAGATTTATTTTACTTATGCATGCAAGAACTGAAGAATAAGTCAGAGGTGCGGGGTGAGAGGAGTCACCAGAGACAGAGTGGGGAGCAGAACAGGCCGATGGACTGGAACGCACTGCTGAGGGGAGCAGCGGGGAGACGGGAAAGGTCTGCTGTGCCCTGTGGGCCACGTCCTGGCCGGGGATCGAAGTCTTGCCACAGTGGCTGCTGATAGCTTCATAGTGCTGAGACTTCACCCTGCGCCACCAGGGAGGCCCTGAAATATACCTATCCCCATTTTATAGAGTAATAATCTGAGGCTTAGTGCAGCTAAGGGGTTTGCCCAAGTTCACAGGGAACTGAATGACAGAACTGAAAGTCCCAGAGCCGGGCCTGGCCCCAGAGCCCACATGCTAATACGGTAGTGGGAAAGGAGCTTCAGATTTAGCTACGGGTCTCCCTGCAGCTACGGGCAAAAGGGAAACTGAACAGGTTGCTCAACTGGCCAGGAGACAGGAAGACGTCCGAGACCCCTTCCTAGCGCTCACTTTTTGATTTGTTTCTCTTTTCCAGTGAGAGTTGATGGAAGAGTTGTGGGGTGGGAGGTCGGGGCTCCCCTTGGAGCACTGAGTTGGGTGACTCAGCTTATCTGTGGGAGGGTTGCTGGTGAGACCCCGTCACCCCCTAGAGAAAGTTCTGTCCTCTGTTGCCCACCATCCTTTGTGGACTGACGAGTGTCTTTCTCCTTTTGCGCCCACCCTTCTCTTGTTGTTCACATGAATGTGGGAAGTCCTGCTTAGGCTGCATCAGAGCAGAGAAGGCAGGACTTCCTCCCCAACGGGGGCGGAGAAGCGAGAGGGAAGGGGCCTTGCGGAGCAGGGTGACACAGCCCCAGCCGGCCAGCCGCAGCTACAGCTGGGTGGGGAGCCGGAGCGCGAGCCACTTCCCCGGAGGCTTCAGGATGGACCTGTGCCCCCCAGGTAAGCACCTGGCACCACCTCCGGGGACCTCAGCTTCCCCCTCTGTAGAATGGGCTCGTAGCAGGTGGCCTCCCAGGCTTCTGGGAGGAGCTGATGAGGAAAAAGATCCAAGCAGGTGGCACTGGAAGACGCCTGCAGTGGTGCTCAGGCACGGGCCATCTGCACCCAGACTCTGAAAGGCCGGATGAAGCGAGCCCATCCCTGCCCTTGCGGCTGACACCTCGGAGGGCGGCTGACGCCCCAGAGGGCGGCGGACAGCGGCATCAACAATGCGGGTGGTGACCAACAATGAGGGTGGAAGAACAGCAGAGCAGGGCGAGGGGCAGTGTCTCAAGAGGAGACACCGCAGAGACATAAAAGCGGGCAGGAAGTGCCCCGTGCAGGTTTCTGGGGAAAGACTATCCCAGGCAGAGGAGCAGCCTCAGAGGGCAAAGGCCGGAGGTGGGGCTGAGAGAGGTGCGCTGAGCACGAGGACGGTGGGCCCCGAAGCCCTGTGGGGCTTTGAGGACAGCCTTTCGGGGAAACTGAGGGCAGCGCTGAGAGCCAGTGGGGCGGGCACGCACGAGCACAGGGCCATGGCTGCGGCCCCCCGCTCTGGGGTGTCCCGGGTTGGGACAGCACTGGCTGGTTTGTGCTTCTGTGTGGCAGATAGGAGGGCTGAGGCTCTGGCTGTGTCTCGGAACGTTCTGGCATTACTTACCCGGAATCCCGGCAGATAAGGGCTCCCCAGCCCAGATGACGTCAGTCAACCCTGTTAGCAGCACAACCCTTTTCCAAACAAAGCCTAACAGAGCAATCAGACCCCTGACATGGCAAGGAAGCAAATGTAAAATGTGGGCTCTGGGGAACACATTTAGAGAACCACCACTGCTTCAAAGGCCCCGTGACACGGGCCTGATTCCAGGGGCCAGCAACGCCAGGGTGAAGCAAGACCAGAAGGAGCGCGTCTCCGCCACCACTGCTTTGTTCTTTGGGGCCTTCGCATGCCGAGGAACAGGGGTGGCTATCCCCATGGGGCACATGAGGAAACGGAGGCTCCCAAAGGCAAGCTGGAGAAGAGCGCTGACTCCCAACGTCAGGAGGCCCGAAGTGGCAGAGTAGCGACAGCCAGTCACCGGAGTAGAGGGAGCCCAGGTCAGCCCAGGCTGGGGCAGAGGGGAGGGGCCAAAGGTGGTCCCTGCTTTTTTCAGGCTGGATTGAATGGGTTCAGCATATTGGTTCACTGGGAGGTTTGAGGTCACCATTGATTGGTTCATCTACTCACCCACCCACCACCCATTCATCCACCCACCATCAATCCACTGATCCATCCATCCACCCACCCACCACCCATCCACCCACCCACCACCCATCCACCCATCCACCCACCCACCATCCATCTACCCACCCACCACCCATCCATCCACCCATTAATCCACCCACCCATCCACCATCCATCCATCCACCCATTAATCCACCCACCCACCCACCATCCATCCATCCACCCATCGACCCACCCACCCACCGTCCATCCATACAACCAACCGTCTTACACTTAGTCCTCTGCTCTGCAAACCCTGTACCATGTGATGCTGGGGACAACAGTGACCTAAAGCTGGTGTCAACCCAGGGGAAATGCTGGTCCATGACACGGGCGAGTGTGAGACAGAGATCAAGTGGAGGAGGAAAAAACTTTCCCACTGAACAGCGAGATCTGGGAAGACTTCCTGGAGGAGGTGGGGGCAATGGATGAGAGCCATTCCTCTCATAGCTAAGCAGCTCCTTAACTGCTACTGCTACTGCTCCAGCGCCAGGTGGCTTCCCTCTGAGCTCAGACTGTCCCGTGTAAGCAGCTGTCTGGGAGACAGCCAGGCCAGGCTCAGCTCCCAGCCCTGTGCCCAGCTGCCAGTGCTCATAACGGATGTCGCCCTTCCACGGGCCTCAGTTTCCCAACCTGTGCACTGACAGGGTGGTAGCAAACCCCCTCCGGGGCCTCCGGTTCTCTAGCTGTGCATGCAGGGCAGGCCCCCTCCACCAGGCCTCAAAGGTTAAAGGTCCAAGCAGCAAAGCCCTATGTGACCAAAGACAGCGCAGCAAGGCGAGGATGCAGTTAAAAATAGAGGCGGCGCTGGCGGGAGGAAGCCGCAGCCGCCCACCCCAGTCCAGGCAGCCCCTGCCGCGGTTCGCGGAGCGTGTGCCCCTGCAGCTCCGAGGGGCCTCTGCTGGGGCCCCAGGACAGCACCCGCCTTGGAAAGGGGAAGCTAGGCCAGCTGTCCTGAAATCCGGCTGCAAGCAGAGAGAGTTCTAAAAATACGACGGGAAAGCGGAAGGACGAAGGGGAAGTGGGAGGGGGCTCCGGGGAGCTGTGACGGGCACCGGGCACGTGGCTCCCCTGGGCACAGGGCGGGGGCAGGTGCCCGGGCCCAGGCAGGGTGGTCGGTAGTCCGGGGGGCCGTGTGAGCTGTGGCCCTCCCGGAGCCAAGGGGGTGCAAAGGGCGCTGGCGGCAACGTTACCGGTGTCTCGGCGCTGTGGCTGCGAAAACCCGTGTCCAGCAAGCCTGTGCCTGAAGCTCCACCGGCTCCAGGCTTGGAATCGGAAGTGACCGCGCTCAGGCTGGACCCTGGTCACTGCCCCTGGACCTCAGCAGCGCCAAAAAGGGGGGAAGTCCCCGCTCTTTAGTAAAAATAGGGGAAGGGTCTGGGCAGCCCGAGCCGCCCGGAGCCAGCAGCGCCACCCCGTGGGTTCGGATGCACTTGGTGTGCTGCTGTTTGTTGGGGACAGGACCTGACGGGGACACTGGGGGCCCGAGGGGGCGCAAGGCGCAAGGATGCACGTGCCCGGCCACGGGGGAGACGGGCGAGGGAAGCCGCTCCCGCCCCGCCAAGCCGCTGACCCCCACCCGGGCCCCGCCGGCACAGCCGCTTCCTTTTGTCTCTCACCCGAAAGCGGGGCGGCCCGGGCTGCAGGCCTCTGCTTCATCTCGGTGCTCCGCCGTGGCTGCGTTGGCGTTTGTGTGCCGCTGGGCCGCCTGGCGCAGCTCACGCGGCCTCTCTGAGCTTCAGGCGCCTCCTTCCAGGGCAGCGAGGCCGTGGGCCGGGGGCGCCGGCCGCTGCCCGCACCTCGTGGTGCTCACCGGGGCCTGCCCTCGGGCTCGGCTTGCCCATCCGTGGCGGGAGGGAGGAGACGCTGCCCAGGCCGCACCGGGCACGGAGCAGAGCTTGGGGCGGGAATGGGGGCTCCGGCAGGCAGGAGAGGAAGGGGCCGCGGCCAGGGAACGGTGGGGGCAGGGGCCTCTGGCGGGAGGGGTGGGGGCCCCCAGGAACAGTGGGGGCGGCACTCAGGGCCCAGCCGGGGCAGGAGCAGGCCCCAAGTGAGACGAGAAAGGGGGTCACACCCGCAGGCCTGGGGGGGCAGCAAAGCATGAGGCCTTCATGCCCTGGGATATGGCCCTGGTTGGAGGGGCGGAGTGCAAGCCGGGAGATGTCGCCCAAACAGCAGCCAGGACGGAGGGGTGTGGGAGGCGCAGGCCCGAGGAGGAGCCGCGGGGTTTCTTGGGGCCACTCCCAGACTTTGAGGACTCGGGAAGAGGGTCCCCCAGAAGAGAGGTTCCCTTTGGGTCTCCGTGACAGTTTGTGAGGCCAGGACGGTCCGAGGCTTGGGGAGGGCCTGGAGCTGGGGTGCGCTGAGGTGCTGCGGTCGTGAGAGGGGAGCGGGTCAGTGGGCCCGGGAGCTGCCTGGGACCGGGACCCCCACTTCTCTCTTCCTCCACTGCATGCGACCACCCACAGACACTCGAGAGCCCCACCTGGCTTCTCCCCGACCACAGCCCCAGCCGCAGGCCCCCCGGCCCCCGCCTGAACCACACGGACCTGCAGGACACAGCCCCAGCCAACAGGAAACCAGAGAACGCGAGCGGACAGCACAGAAAAGGCCGACCTGCCGCCCAGAGCCGGCCGGAGGTCATAGGGTTTCCCACCGTCACTGCGCTTCCCTCCCCCCACAGAAGGTTCCGGCCCGCCGCCTTCCCCGGCTTCGTCCCCGCTCATGCCTGCACGCCACCTTCCACACCTTCCCACCCGCGCCCCCAGGGGGCACAGCGCCCACCTCTCCGGGCCCCAGGCTGAGACAGCAGCAAGCCGAGCTGGGGCTCCGGCCCCACGCTGCTGCTTCCCGCTGTGTGACCCAGGACAAGTCGCTTCGCCTCTCTGGGCCCCAAACTGAAACGGACTCGCTCCAAAGCCTTGTGAAGATGAGATGACATAATTCGCATGCGCGGAACAGGCGTCCTTGAGCTTAAAGATGAACGAACGAGCCTGGATTTTTCCTCGCCTTCGCCTCCTCCCGCCCCACCCCGGGCGCCAGGGTCTCGGGATGAGGAGCTCCCTGCTGCAGCGGCAGGGAGGAGCGCTCCCCCGTGGCCACTGGGAGGATGCGGGGGGCTCGCACCCCTCTTCTCAAGCCCAGGTGATTCCCTGTCAGGACAGCACCATCGCACAGCCGTGGGCTGGGCACGCAGGAGGGTACCAGCAGGCTGGCAACACAGCTGCCCCTTCTAGGGGCCTCTCCGCTGCCCCCTCAGACCAGCGTCTTTTGGAGGCGGACAGCCTTTGTGGGAGGGCCAGACTCCCTGGCCGCACCTCCTTACTATAAAGGGGGTCCCTCGCTGCAGTGGGATGTTACGCGGGGCTCTGTGTTGGCAGATCGGGGCTCTGGAAGCCCCTGGGTAGCCGGGTCAGCCGGGGCTCTGCGGGCGGCAAAGTCAACCTCGCATCCAGAGCGCGTGTGGACTCCGGTCCAGAGCCAGGACTGGCCTTCGCCCAAACGGACCCATGGGAGCCGACCCGCCGCCGAGGCGCTGGCTCCTTCTTGACAAAGGACAGGTTCAGCAGCAGCTTCTGTCGCTGGCAGGTGGGGTTCAGCATGGCCGTAGGCCGGGGCGTCCGGAGGAGCAGGTCCGTGCATCACGTCTATCCAGGCCACGTGGCCACCTCACCCCTGGGCCCAGGGGGCCAGCCCTGGCTTGGCCAGTCAGAGGCCGGCTGATGCCATCGGGACAAGCCACTGTGTCTGCGTGGTGAGCGCCCCGTGGCGGCTGCCTGCTGAGAACTCTCGTCTTCGCAAAGCTCTGCACGTTGGGTGCCCGGTCCCGCCAGGCCACCCCTGGCTCTCCGCAGACCTCTCTGTTTCCTGCCTCCCAGCCCTCCCCAGCCTCGGACCCAGAGCCGAGCTGCGCTACAGCCCGGGAGCGCGGGTGCAGCTTTTCTTCCTGCCTCTCTGCTCCAAACAGCTGCCCAGGGGCCAGGCTCCTTCCAGCCTGGTGCTGCCCCCTGCGTGCCCACCCCTGATGTCCACGTCCTCGGCAGCTGATGCAGCGACGGGAGGGGGAGGGGCAAGGCGGGCCTGGTGTTCTCTCTGCGACACTGGCAGAGGCCACCCCGTCCTTGCAACGTCTTTAAGAAACGTGACCAGGCGCTTGCCCTCTCCGGGCCTTGGGCGTCGGGAAGGGTTAGGGTTGGCAGGCAGGAGACAGGCAGGCTGGGGGAACCGCGCAGCCCAAGGTGGGGGAGCCAGGCCGAGCCTGAGACAGCTCGGGGGGCAGTGAGGAGCCGGCAGGCTGCCCTGGCCCTTTTGAGAATGGCAGGGAGTAGGCTGGCTGGAGACACCAGGGAGATGGCGGAGGCCCTAGCCCTGGGTGAGGACTTTCCCCTCTAGGTGGCTGGGAGTCCATGCAGATTTTAACCGGGAGAATGCTGGAAGAGGTGTCAATGGGGGAGGGAGGAGATGGAGGCGATGCCATGTGGGAAGCAGCATCGTACCTTGCCAGGAATCTGGTGCACACGCTGGACACTGGCTCACCGCTCCTTCCTGAGCATTGGTGTGGGGGCAAGACCTGGAAGACGTGCCCCCCACTCCAGCCCCCCATCTTACATAGTAAGGCTCTGAGGACCACCCTATCCAGGGCTCAGTGCCCAGCCTCCCTTGCAGCTAGGTGTGGCCATGTGACTACAGCTGGCCAGTGGGATTCAAGGCAGAAGTGAACCCCCACTTCTTGGTTGTGCAAAGAAATAAGTGGACAAGCGATAGATTTGTCACCCCTTGATGGAGCTCCGGGAAGGATGAATGTCTCCGCAAATAGCTTATAGAGTGCCTGCGATGTGTCGGGCACGTTCTACGTGGGGCAGAATAGAGGCTGGGCTGCCCGTGTGAGCTGAGGTGTAATGAGCAGGCCAGAAAAGCTCGGGGAGCCTGGACGCAGAGGGACTGAGGAGACATAACGCCGGGTAGGAAGGCAGTGGGAGAGGCAGCTTCAGACGGGGCGGTCAGGGAGGGCCCCTCGGAGGAGGTGACGTCGGGCCCCAGGAAGAGGGAGCCCAGGACAAAGAGCTGTCCGGCGTGGCCAGAGCTGCGTGGTGGAGGAGAGAGCGGCTGAGTGAGGCGGGCCCTGCTTCTCCCCTCTCCAGACCCAGCAGAGCTGAGCAGCGGGGAGACAGAGGAGCTGCAGCAGATTAAGTGGCACCGGAAGCAGCTCCTGGAGGACATCCAGGTGGGTGCCCCGCACAGCACGCGTGTCCAGGTCCAAACCCCCACAAGCAACTCGGCGCACGCTGGCATCCCTCTCCCCCCGCCCTGACCCAGCCTGGGCATAGAGCCCGCCAGACTGAGCCCGCCCCGCCCCGCCCCGCCCCTGCGTGGGGGAGCAGAAGCCCCGGGGCCTCCGCCCGTGGGTCCAGCTGCTGGGACCGGCAAGAACGGGACAGCAGGGCGGGAGGTGCTGAGGAGAGACTGAGGGCCCCCACCCCCCCTCCCCCCCCCCCACCCCAAGCCCCCACTCCCCGTCTCATCCCTGGCAGGTTCTCACCCCACCCTGTGGCCCGGTAAGGCCTCAACCCCGTGGTGGCCTGTTTCATCTGCCCTAAAGTGTGGCCATCTGGTCAACAGCAGGGCAAGCCCTGCGCTGGCCGTTGGCCATGTCTAGTGTCGGCTTACCTGTGCTCGGCGCCCCGGCCGGCGGGTGCCAGCCCGCACCCCCAAGCTCTCCTCACGGCTGCTCCTCCTCGTACCTCCACTCTCAGCTCACACCGCCCTCCTGACCCCAACCCTCTCCGCTGCCAGCCCCCTGAAAGCTGGCCCCCCACGGGCTCCAGCCCGATAGTCAGGCCGCAGAGGTAATGCTTGCGAGGAGGCCCCTCTTACCGGCGGGGAAGCCTCTCCGTGACTCAGCCAAGGGCTCAATGACAGGAGCTGACAGGGCCCAGACAGGGTCCCGGAGAAGCTCGGAGCCCCAAAACAAGCCCCCAGGGCCCTCCCATCACCAGTACCCCAGAGATCTCAGGGAGGAGCCCGGGCCGGGTCACAGGGCCCAGGGCGCCCCCTCCTGCCTGGGGGGCGATAGGGAGCCCCGGCGGGTGAGGAGGGGAGGACAGCACCAAGCTGAGCTTCAGACTGGGGGCGGCGGGTGGAGGAGGGCCTGTGGGCCGGCTCGGCGGGGGGGGCAGGGACCCCACGGCAGTAGGACAGGGAGAGGGACGGAGCCCAGGCGGGGAGCTGGCGGCTGCGAGCACAGGACAGGAGGCGTCTGCGGAGGGGACTGTGGGGCGGGGCGTCCCCAGGGGGCCTCAGGACAGCCTGGGAGTCGTGCCTGGGCTGGGAGTGGCCGTGTGGCGGAGCGGAGGCCTCTCCACCCCAGCTGGCCCTGACTCTCCCCTCCGCCACCCCACAGAAGCTGAAGGACGAGATCGCAGATGTGTTTGCGCAAATCGACTGCTTCGAGCTTGCGGAGGAAGGGTGAGCACCCCGGGGAGCTGCGTGGGGTGCCGAGGGCGCCCCCGCTGTGAGTGGGCAGGGCGGTGCCAGTCAGAGAGTAGAGCCCGGCGGAGCAGGCCGCGGCGGCGAGATAGGGAGAGGATGGCCCGAGCCCACCGTGGCCTGGCCTGGGCCTCGCCGGCCTGCAGGCCCGCTCTTGAGCGACAAGGTCCTCACAGCCTCTCCGGCCCGAGCCGCCCGCGCTGGCCAGAGCATCCCGGGATGGGCTGAGGGGCAGCCCAGAGGGCAGGAGGCCGAGGACCCCAGGGAGACAGGAGCTGGGACCGTGGCAAGGCGGGGCTGGTCCAGCTCACCCCGCCCTCAGGCCCCCCTCTCTGGCCTTTCTGTGGGAAGACTCACTGGCCCCGTGACCGCGGCTGGGCCCTCGCCCTCTGGGCCTTGTTTGCTCCCAAGCCCAGGAAGGTGGTTGGGCCCTGCTAACCCGAGGGCTCCGGGGCACTGAGCCCTGTGTAGGGTGTCCCGGGAGATCCGGCCCCCCACCTTGGTTCTCAGAAGCCTCTACTCTCATCCTTCCCAGCCCACGGAACGGCTGCACCGGTGTGCACAGTCTTGGCCCTGTGTCCCCAGGGATCTGCTCGGGTCCCCACAGTGCGCGTCCTCTACAGAGCACTGACCTGCAGCATTTTCAGTGCTCTGACCTCCCAATAGTCTGGGAGGGAGGCAGGCGGTGGTGTGAACCCATTTCAAAGATGAGGAAACTGAGGCCAGGAGAGATGTGTCAGGCCAAAGCGTCTCCTCCAGCAAGCAGTGGGGGGATTTTCCCCAAAGCCTGTGCTCTCACCCCAGCCTCCCTGGCCTCTGCTCCCACCCCAGCACAGGGGTCCCCTGCAATCTCCTCCGAGAGAAATTCTGCACAGGCCCTCACATGCACCCCCACGCCCACCCAAAGCCACGGCTTTGCGGCTCATTAAAATGCAGGTGCGGGGCCCAAGAGGCATTGACAGGGGCCTGGGGGCCCCACTTGGAGGCCCTCTCGCTAAGGGAGGGGCCCCTGGGAACTGGAGGGGTGCTCAGGGTCCTGGAGCAGCCCGGCTGACCTGCTGTGTCCCCAGCCGGATGGCCCAGAAGGAGAAGGAGCTGTGCATCGGACGCAAGAAGTTCAACATGGACCCCATGAAGGTGTGCGGTTGGGGGCGGTCCCCGGGTCAGGGCAGCCGCGTGCGGAAGCTTCACAGTGACCCCCCTGCCGGTGAGGTCGCTGAGGCCCAGCCAGGCTGAGCATCACGTCCGCACCCCCGCCGCCTGTCCCGGCTGGGGCTCGTCACCACGCCCCGGGCGCAGTGGGAGCCAGGGAGGGTGGCGTCTCTGACAGGTGTGCACTCGGCCCTGGGCCTGTCTCCTGCCCTTGCGTGGGCTTTGGACAGCCGAGCCCTGGAGTCGGGCTCAGCCTCCCACCAGCCCCCAGGCGGGCAGCCAGCCCGGGGGCGCGGGGGCTCAGGGCAAAGCCACTGTGCTCCCTGGCTCCCTCCTGCATCCTGCCCCCACTGGCCTCAGGCCGCCCGCTCCCACCTGCACCCAGCTGGCTGGCAGCTGGACACCTTTCCTGGAGGAACAGAGACCAGCGCTCACCAGTCACCACAGCTGGCACCGCAGAGGCCGTCAGGGCTGCCAGGGGGCTGCCCTGCTGCGGTGCCCGGAAATGTACCGCTCTGGCTTAGAGGCTGCCGCCTCCCGGGCACAGGCGCAGGGTCACCCACCCACCTGCACAGCTGCGGCCCTCGGGCCCTGCTCATTCACGTGAACAACACGCGTATACACACGCGTCACGTGCACACAGGCCCCACACGTGCCAGCGTGCTCACCAGCGGGTGCTCCCCCGAGCGCCTGCGGGGCTCCCGGGGGGCTCCTCACACAGAGCCTCCGCCTGCCCCCCATCCTCCAGCAACCTCTACTCCGAGGGTTCCGGGGCACGTGGCCGCATCAGAGACCAGAGGTTGTCCAGTCGGGAGCAGGTTTCCCTGGGCGGCGGGGCGGCTCCACACTCACAGGGAAGGGGCAGGAGAGTCTGCTCCCCGGCCCCCCGAGGAGAGGATGCTTCTCCTCCTTGCTGTTTTTCTGATATTTATGCACTGGACATAGATGGCTTGTGAGAGAAAAGGAAACACTTTTATAGTCGTGGGCAGAGGAATCCCTGCTGCTACAGTCAGACTGAAGGAGACCCAGGGAGTCCCTAGCCTGGCATGTTCACTGCAGGAACCTGCATCCCACCTTGCATGCTTCCAGTGATGGGGATCTCACCACCTCACAAAATAGCTTTTACTGAGAAGGGATCCTTGCTTTCCAGAAAAGACTGTGCTGGCGCCAGAATGCTGGACCCGGGGCTCCGGTCACAGGGGCTCCCCCCTCTCCCCTCCCAGGCTGGCCGCTGTGCAGGGGCGAGGGGTGGACATTTCTCACGGGCTCTGTGTGTGACCCTCAGGGCATCCAGTATCTCACTGAGCACAAGCACCTGAATCCCAGCGTCCAGGACATCGCCCAGTTCCTGTACAAGGGCGAGGGCCTCAACAAGACAGCCATTGGCTCTTACTTAGGGGAACGGTAAGGGCGGCCGGGGGTGGGGGGGTGGGGAGAGGGCGGCAGGGGTGTGGTGCGCAGGTGAGTGTGTGTGCTCGCAGGTGAGTGATTCTGCCAGTTAGGTTCAGCGTCAGAACTCTGGGACCCGAGGGCAAGCTGCTCATGCCTGCGGACTCTGGACCAGAACTTCCCTGCCTCCTTCCTTCCTCCCACAAACATATTTTTAGTATCCACTGTGCCAGGCACTGTTCTAAGCCCTGGGTTCACAGCGGTAAACAAGACAGACAAAACCCTGCCTCGGGGGAGGCACATTCTGTGAGGACGGCAGGCCCCGAAATACGTGAACTATGTCAGAAACGTCTAAATTCTCTGCAGCACAAATCCAGCAGGAGGCGAGAGGCGTGGGGGCCGCAGGCTGTGACAGGAAGGGTCATGACAGTTGACTGAGACTAAAAGATGAGCCTTGCAGAGATGGGCGGGGCGCATCCCAGGCTGAAGGAAGGCGTGTGCAAAGGCCCCGGGGCAGAGCGTGACCGAAGGGAGCGGGCTGGCGAGCCCTGAGGCGGGGAGGAATCGTCGGTGGCAAGATGGCAGTCGGTGGTGCTCTGACGGGAGTCAGGGGAGCCCTCTGGGGGCCAGTGAGAATGGCGGGCTGGGCCAGCCAGCTAGTGATGCATCGCCCAGGCTCCCAGCGGATTCCCGCTCTTGAGCAGGCCAGGGAGGCGGGTGACTAGAAGGCAGGGCAGAGGGAGGCCGTGTGGGTGGACAAGGCTGAGGTCACTGGGGCTTGAAGGTCCAGTGGCTTGAAGGGGGTCACCCAGGCGGGCAGTGGCAGGGACGAGGTGACTGGGCCGGCCGCGGGTCTCCAAAGCCGGAGCTATGCTGATCCAGCAGCGGGGAGGGGGTGTGGGGGGTCTGCTCGGGGTGGGCGGACCTGGGTGTGCCCCTGGGGGCTGGGAGGGTGGACAGAGGTCAGGCAGATGTGAGAAGCCCAGACTCGGCTGGAGCCAGAGGGGGGGAGGTCTGCTCCACCTCTGTCCCCCACTCACCGGGCTCCAGGGGTCCCAGCAAGACCCCAACGCACCCCTCCCTGCCTTCCACCCCTTTCCCAGGGACCCCTTCAACCTGCAGGTGCTCCAGGCCTTTGTGGACTGCCACGAGTTCGCCAACCTCAACCTCGTGCAGGCCCTCAGGTGAGTGAGCCTGGACGCAGGGGCCCAGCCCACGAGGTGGCACAGTCGGGGCTGGGAGCAGCAGAGGCCCCCAGGGCTGAGGAGGCCTGGGCTGCAGGTCTGTGGGGCTCCCGTGGGCGGGGAGCACGTGCTCACCCCCAGAGTGTGCGAGGAGGCATTTCCTGGCTGCCTTCTGGCCAGCACAACCTTCTGGGCAGCACGACCCCACTCTGCTCTGGGCACCCCTGAGAGCCCCCCGCCACACCAGCCCCTGCTCCCCCAGGCAGTTTTTGTGGAGCTTCCGGCTGCCGGGCGAGGCCCAGAAGATCGACCGGATGATGGAGACCTTCGCCACCCGATACTGCCTCTGCAACCCCGGCGTCTTCCAGTCCACAGGTGCCGGTGTGGGAGGGCCCGGGCCCGGCCCGCAGCACTGCGCCCCGAGGGCCACGGCCGCCCCGCTCCCGCAGGCTTCCCCACACACCCAGACCTTGGGGTTCCAGACCCCTCGCGGGCCCTCACTGGGCTCAGCTCCAGGCCAGGCCGCTGCTAGGGCTGGGTGGGCCAACCGTCGCGGGGCAGAGGAAGGATGCCGCGGGGAGGCAGGGACGGGGAGTGGACGCGTCCAGGATGGCCTCCGAGCGGGTGGGGTCTAAGTGGGGCTCGCAGGGTGGGGAGGAGCTCTCTAGGAGGTTGCAAGGAGAAGGGGCTGTGGACGGGAGTCCAGGCTTGGGCATGCAGAGGTATATGAGATATCAGCAAAGGTCCGTCCCCCACACTGCCCCTCCGGGGAGGGCAAGAGGCCTCTTGTCTGTCTGAAGTGAGCACGGGCACATCAACCCATCCCGCTCTTGAGCGCCCCCTAGGGGCTGAGCCCTCTGCCCCTAGAAACCCCTCAATCATCCTTGAGGCTGGCACTACCCTTGCCAGCACTTCTTGGCTGTGGCCCCCGAGCAAGCCCCACAGACGCATTTAACGTGCTTGTGGGTTCATGTAAAACCGGACTCGATGCTTGGCTTTCTGTCCGCCCCCCGAGTCCACAGACCCCCAAGGGTGGGGCCGTACCAGTTTCACCAGGGAACCCAGCCCAAGCACTCAGTGGGCGCTCAACAGACACTGATGAGCAGGGGGGTTCCGAGGCAAATCTGCATCGCACCCCAACTACCTACGCTGTGGCCTGTGACGTAGCCTCCTGTGGCCCGTGTCCGCCTCTGTAAGCGGGGGAACACGGCTGGCCCTGGGCTGCCGTGAGCTGCGAGGAGCTCCGGTCCGGCTGTCCTGGAGCCCAAAGCTACCTCCGAGGAGCCCCCCCACCGCCCCCCACCGCTCCCCCCGCTAAGGCCGCAGGTGGGGAGGCCAAAGCTCAGGGCAGCCCCGTGCTCCCCAAGGTCAGTCAGAGCGCTGGGGACACAGCCGGACTCCCTGCTCTGGCTCCAGGGCTGCAGACCCCACAAAAGACCCAGAGCGGCCAGGGCCCCTCCCACGGCCCCAGCCAGGCCACGGAACGGGCAACGGGCCATGCAACGGGCCTCCGCTGCCGGAGTCCTGCGGTTAGCCGGCGGCGCGAGGCCGAGCCCCGGACAGCGCTGTCCTGAGCGTCCCTGAGTCCCGAGGAGGCAGAGAACGGGGTGGGCAGGGGGCTGGGCGCGCCCGGCGGGGAGGAGGCTGGAGCTGGAGCTGGGAGAGAAGGGGGGGCTGGGGCGGGGCCCGTGGAGCAGAAGTGCAGGTCGGGGTGCACAGGGCAGGCCGGCCGCCAGGGCTGCCGGAGTCCAGCCAGCGCGGCGCAGCCAGTTCCGGGCTGACCAGGAGGCCGGCCGCCAGGGCCACGACGGCCGGCTCTGCCCCGGGTGACCCAGCGCCACCCCGCAGACACCTGCTACATCCTGTCCTTCTCCGTCATCATGCTCAACACCAGCCTCCACAACCCCAGCGTGCGGGACAAGACGCCCTTCGAGCGCTTCGTGGCCATGAACCGCGGCATCAACAACGGCAGCGACCTGCCGGAGGAGCAGCTGCGGGTAAGGGGGCCGTGAGCCCACCCCCGCGGCCCTGCCTTCCAGCGGGCTGTCCCTCCAGGGGGGCCCTCTGAGACACCACCCCAAGAGGGAGCTGGCTGAGGGCCACCAGTCTGGTGGCAAAAAGACAAAAGAGGTTGTCCTGGGAGCGGACTTTGAGACAGCCGTCTGCAGATGGGCCTCCCGGGAGGTCAGCCTTCGGGGGTGCTGGGCACCCACCACTCACAGCTCCCACAAGGGGCTGCCTGGCCGCCAGCCCATGTCTTGGAACCCAGCTCCTAGACGCTCCTCAGAGAGCTGAAAGTCCTCCGAGCCCAGGCCCTTCCGAGAGGACAGGGGTCCCCCAGCTCTTGAGCCATGCAGAATGCAGCCCCTGCACCCCCGCTCCTTGGCAAGCAGCCCCCGACCCCTGCCACACGGCACCCCGGGATCTCTCTTCTCATGGGGCTTTTGGGTTTACTATCTCATTTTAGCTTCAAATGCTCCGTGGGAGGTCTGGGAAGGGTTTATTCTGCTCGCTGCCTAGAGAGGCAGCGTGGGGTGCAGAGGGGACAGGGAACAGAGGGCCAGAGTCCAGCCACAGCTCCTGCGAGGCCTGGCTCCCACATCGTCCGACTGTGTGGTGCTGGGTAGCTGGCTTGGCCTCTCTGACCCCCAGTGCATGGGACCAGTGAGAGATGAGAGGCGAAGCCCATGCCCGCGGTGGTTGCTGTGGCTCGTTAATCCAGAGCTTCCTGGGGCACAAGGAGACCCAGGTCTTGCCTGTGCTGCAGGGTCTTCTCTCTGGGCCTCATCTTCTCCAAATGTCAAGCGAGGACTTGGTTTCCAGCACCCTCAGATGTTCAAAGCCGGGGTTCCAGCTGGGGGCCTGCAAAGCCTTTAAAGGGGCTGGTGTACGGGAATTAAGCTCACAGGTCCAGGCCCCACAAGGAGGTCACCCGGGGTGCGAAGTCAGCAGATTTCACAGAGATGCGTGGTGGGAGTTGGGGGCCCAGGCAGGTTGAGCCCCCCCTTGCCCCGCCATCCTGCTCTGCCCTTAAATCCCAGCCCTGCCCTGAGGCGTGACTTTGACCTCTGCAAGGTGGGCAGAAGACACCAGCCTCACAGCCTCACACAGCTCCCAGAGACAGAGATAATGCGCCTGCAGGCACCTGCTGAGGGAGACACCCGCCTGGAGAACTGCGGGGTGGGGGTGGCGTGAGCGTGGAGGAGGGAAGGAGGCGAGAGGACGAGGAGGGTGCTCCTCCCCTGTCCCGGGGACCTGAGCCCCAGGAGGGGGATGAGCCCTCGGTCCGGGGCGTCTTCTGCACGCAGTCAAGGACCTCCTGGGGCCTGGTCCGTGTCTCCAAGTCCAGAGCCCAGTTCCGGGCAACGGTCTCACCAGGTCCTCCTGGAACCCACAGGCAGCAGGTCCGATCCCCCCTTGACGCGCGAGGGAAACTGAGCCCCAGAAGAGTTGGCCAGGGGGTCTCATCGTTGGTGAGGACTCCAGATTCCAGTCCATGTTTGACCCCCTGTCCCCAGACCAGCGGGCAAGACGGGGGTGAAGGCTTGGCTGTGTTGCCCAGGCCTCCGGCAAGAGGAGCCCCAGCTAAAACTGGGCGTCCGTGGGCTTCAGGCGCGTCGGCTCAGGCGTGGCTAGATGAGGGGCTGGGGCTGCTCAGGCCTCAGTCCACCCGCCCCTCGCAGCTGCCCTGTCCTCCAGGGCGCTGCCCCTCTGCGGGCTCTCCCAGATGGAGCTGGAAGCAGGCTTCCAGGCTTCCAGGCTTCCAGTGAACAACGTCCCAGATTGAGATTTATTGGCTGCCCCGGGTCTCACACACCGAGTCAGTCACTGATTAGCCAGCTGTGAGTCACCCCCGCCTCCGGGCGCCTGTGGGGGCAAGTGGAAGGGGGTGGTCACCCCGTCCCAGACACCTGCGCAGCGAGGAGGAGGGGTGGTGATTCCCAGAAGGAAGCCAAGGAGGGGAGGACAGAGGCCAGGCCAGTGCCACGGCCGGCGACCGCCGTGTCCTGCCCCAGCCACACTGCCCACGAAAGCGCCGGAGCCAGCAGCTTAGCAGCGACGGGTGTGGGGGTGTTTTCTTATGGTGAGGCGAGCGGGGGTTGGGGGGCTGCTGTTGCAAGATACAGGAAATGTGGGTGAAATGAGCTGTTTGCTTTTCCTTTGTGAGGGCAGAGTGTGCATGCTGATAGGCACCCACAGAAGCTTTGGGGGCCCTGTGGGTGTTGTGGGAGGCCGAGGCACCCGTCTGCCCCCAGCACCCCATTGGTTGGGCCTCCCAAGTATCTGTGTGGCTTGACAGCTTTGCTGCAGGGCCTTGCTCCCCAGGCAGTGCCACTGGGGGATCCCCAGGGCCAGGCTGGGTCTGGGGGAGAGGCCAGCGGGGTCCTCCACTGCTCCCATTTGCGAGGGCTTCAAAGAGAGAATGGGGACCCTGCTCTTCCCCGGGCAGGCCCCCAGCCAGGCGGGACCCGGGGCCCCGTGACATCCAGTCCAGGGGAGCCCGCTTCCGGCCTGCCGCCCCTGCTGAAGTCAGCAAGCGCTCGACGCACCAGCAAACCCCATTTCTAAAACTTGGGGGAAATGAAGCACTCGTGACAGCTTCATTTAAAAATCTCGAGGAGGCCTCTGCACAGCCGCACACACAGACGCAGCAACAAGAAATGATTTAATCACCTGAGCGCTGGGAGCCAGCGCCGTCTGGTTTTAATAAGCAGAACTAGAAGGTTTGGCGTGTCTTCACAGACACGTAGAAGTCTGAGCCGGTGTGCATGGAACTGGGGGTTCACAGAGATCGCACAGGGTGAGCTGCGAGGGACCAGCCACTTGCCCTGGAGGCCCCAGCCCTGACTTGCTTACCCCTGGGGACGGGGACCTCTTTACTCCACAAGGCTGCGCCTCTGAATGTCAGCCGCGCTGTAAGAGACCCCCACGACGCACTAAAAGCTGCCCTCGGGCGCCAACCTGCTTTGGGGGGCTGCGGATGAGGCAGCAGGCTGGCCCCCCACCCTACGGCAGAGCAGGGGGCACATAGTATGGGGGTGAGTGGGCCGGGGGCCGCGGGGGAGGGTCTCGCTGAGAAGGCCGGGACGAGACGGCGGGGCTGCCCTGGGCGAGGGGTCCCTCAAGGCCGCTCAGGCCACAGGCCCAGGCCACCGGCCAGCGGACGGCCCAGCAGCCCCCCCTCCCCGGCAGAACCTCTTCGACAGCATCAAGAGCGAGCCCTTCTCCATCCCGGAGGACGACGGCAACGACCTCACTCACACCTTCTTCAACCCCGACCGCGAGGGCTGGCTGCTCAAGCTGGGTGAGCTTGGGCTCCCGCCACGACACCCCCAGCACAGCGCTCGCCTGCCCCACCCGCCTTCCGTCCAGAATGGAGGGGACGGGGGCCTGGGCCGGGGAGCGGGGCGAGGCTGGCAGGCGCAGACAGCCCCCCCGTCTCTTCCTGGAGGGGTCCGAGGAAGCCCAGGCCCAGGGCGGCCTGTGCACCTGCCGGAGGCCACAGAGCACCGGCAGCCTTGATGGCAGAGGTGGGCGTCCTGGGGCGGGGGGAGGGTGAAGGATGCGGCTCTGGGGTGTCTCGGCCTGCAGAGGGGCACCCCCACACGCTCCTGGATGCTGCCCAGGGCAGGGGAAGCCCAGCTAGGCACGGCCCCCCGGCGCAGCTGAGGACAGAGGCCGGCGTGCGCGGCCTGCCTGGGGCCATCGAGCCCTCTCCAGGCCCGCCTGCCCTCCGCCCAGCCCCCCGCCTCCCGGCCTGCCCAGCTGACAGGTCTCGTCCCCGGAGGCTCTCGGTCACAGACCCCAGCTCCGACCCCGGCTGCTCGGGCCCTCGGCCTCCGTCCACAGCCATGGGCGGTGACCACTGGGCGTCTCGGGGCAGCACCAGGGCCGGGTGCGGGCGGCGCGGGACCCGGGGTTGGAATCTCGGCTCAGCCACGGGCGCCGGCCTCAGCCTTGCGGCCCCATCTCCTCACCACGAATGGGTTAGCCCAGGTCCCCGTCAAGTTGGGGGGCCGTTTTGGGCCGCTGAAGCGCGGCCTGCCAACGAGAGGTGCCAGGCAGGCAGCCGGTGCCAGGAGGTCCGCTCCGGGGCCTCCTCTTGCCGCTCGGGGAGCCTGGGGTGACGGAGCCGCCAGGCTCTAGCACGGGGAAAGGGGGAGATGTGGGGAGAGCGCGGCAGGTGAGAGGGGTGACGGCTGCCGCCCCGCAGGGGGCCGCGTGAAGACGTGGAAGCGGCGCTGGTTCATCCTGACCGACAACTGCCTCTACTACTTCGAGTTCACCACGGTGAGCCCAGAGCCTGCCCGCCCCGGCCCTCCCGGGCCCGCCAGCAGGGCGTGGGGCCCTGGAGCCCTGCCCACCTCCGTGCCCGCTTCACAGATGGGGAAACTGAGCTGCTGAGAAGAGGAGGGGAGGGCCGAGGGCCAAGTTCCGAGGGAAAGCGGGCCGAGGGGTCTCCCACTCCCCACCCTGTGCGCCACACGCTGCCCCCCACCCCTCCAGGGCTGGACAGAGTGCGGGTTTGGGGAACCCCAGCAGCTCGCCTCCTGCCCTTGGCCTCAGGGCTGCACCCCGGGGTGCTGACCCTCCCCCCCTCCCGTTTCCCTGCAGGACAAGGAGCCCCGGGGCATCATACCCCTGGAGAACCTGTCTGTGCAGAAGGTGGACGACGCCAAGAAGCCAGTAGGCGTCTGGTGCAGGGCCTGTGGCCAGCTGGGAGGGTTCCCTGGGAAAGGGTGGGGGCAGCGGCTGGGCTGGGTGCTCCGGGGGGGTTGCCGGCTTCCCTTTTGGTTGGCCCGGGCTTCCGGCTTGGGGTTGGCCCTTGGGGCAGGGCAGGGTCGTCAGAAGGGCACAACCTGTGGTCAGGTGCTGTGTCGACGGGGCCCGGCACCCTCAGTAAGTCTCCGTTCCTTCGGGAGCCTCAGTTTCCCTATCTGTCCACTGGAAATGGGGGGGCCGTGCCGGGTAGGGGTGGAGCCCGGCACGTAGTGCGTCCTCCTGTCCAGGAGGCGCCTGGGCGGGCAGTGTCCCGTCGCTGGCCAGGTCCTGCCCGGCGCGGCACCCCCTCACCGGGCGCTCCCCGCAGTTCTGCCTGGAGCTCTACAACCCCGGCTCCCGGGGCCAGAAGATCAAGGCCTGCAAGACCGATGGGGGCGGCAAGGTGGTGGAGGGCAAGCACGAGTCCTACCGGGTGTCGGCCTCCAGCGCCGAGGAGCGGGACCAGTGGATCCAGGCCATCCGGTGAGCGGGCGGCGGCACGGGCCCCCGTGCCGACGGCAGCCTCTGCTCCCCTCGCCCCCCATTGGCGCTGGGTGGAGGGCTGACTCCAGAGGCCCGTCCCGCTCCTGCCACGCGAGCCCCTCTCGCCCGTGTTTCCCGCGCACCGTGGGCCGGGCCTGCGCCAGGCCAGGGCACAGCGCAAAGCAGCCAACCGCAGGGGCTGCCGGGAGCGTGGCGAGAGCAGCGTGGAGCTCGTTGGCCAGCGCCAGGCGCCCGGGAGCCCCGGCCTCCGCGGCGCCGGGCCACGAGCCGGTGCAGCGGGGCAAGGGCCCTCCGGGCGGAAGGAAGGGCACGGCAGGCCGACGAGCGGGCGCGTGGGCGTAGGGCCCAGCTGGAAAGCGCCCAAACCCTGGCGGCCGGTGCCGGGCAGCAGGGGCCAGGCAGGGCCAGGCCGTCACGGACCTGACCGTTGAGGAGCCGGGCGGTGTGGGGACGGAGCGGTGGGAGGAGGGTGCAGAGGACGGCCGGGCCTCAGTCACCACGGCAACGAGCGTGGCTTTCTCCTGGGAGCACCCGGGAGCCACAGGCCAGAAACGGGGCAGGTGTGGCCAGGTGAGAAAGACCTGTCCCGGGATTGGCTTGAGGTGCCGAGACGGGCGAAGGGAAGGAAGAGGGAAGCCAGGTGAGGGGCAGGGGACACCCTTCACGCGGAGCCGCGAGACCCCGGGGAGGGCCAGAGGATGTGGCTGGGCCGGGCGTGCCGGGGGCCTGTGGGTCTTGGCCGCGGACTTCACAGCAGCCCTGTGAGGCCGAACACCAAGTCGTCGCCGCCTCCAGCTTACGCACAAGGAAACTGAGGCCCAGAGAGGGGCGGGGCTCGCGGGGGGGCCACACAGCCAGTGGGGGGGTGGTGCCAGGCCCACAAGCCGGGCTGCAGGGGGCTCTTCCCAGCCCCGTCTGAGAGTCTGGAGGGGCTTGAAGAGGGTCCGGGCACACCTGGGGACAGAGCCCCCAAGGGTCTTCAGTCTCGCCCTCTCTAGCCCTGCCGCTGGGTCTCCGGGTGGGGCCAGCGACCTGGCCTGGTCCCTGCGCGGGCCAGGCTGACCCCCGCACAGGAGGCCCGCACCCTTTGCAGGCCCCGGAGCCAAGACACCCCCCGGACAGTCAGCTCGGCCCTGAGTCTCGGCACCCGCTCTCCTTCCAGAGCCAGCATCACCCGCGTGCCCGTCTACGACCTGGTCTCTGCTCGGAAGAAGAAGATCGCCAGCAAGCAGTGAGCTCCCAGGACCCGCGGCGCCCGGAGACCCGCTCCCACCCCGGGACACCCGTTCCTGGCCTATGGACATCTCCCCTCCCCCTGTTACCTCAGGAGGGGGACGCAGAGCTCGAGAGGGTAGATGGGACCCTTCCACGGGTTCAGAGCGGGCAGCGAGGCCCCCAGCCGGCCCCCCCAAACCCACCGCAGGAAGGAGCGAGAAGGTAGCCAGGAAGCAGCACCCCGGCCAGGCCCTCCCGTCGGGGCCTCCGTTTCCTCTCCTGCTCCCCCCTTGCACTCTGAAATGTCACCAGCCTCAAGGGCGGGGGCCGTGCCGTGATTCCTCCTTCTGGGGCTTTCTCTGGCCTCGGCGGGGACGTGGCCCCCTCGCCCGGGACACACACAACTCAGAACCACAGCTACGACTGCCAGGAGCTCCAGACGGGGAGTCCAGGCCCCGAGTCTCGGTCGGCTGCGCTTCCGACGGGCTGTGTGTCCTCAGCACAGTCGCGCTCCCTCTCTGGGCCTTGGGGAGAAATGTCTCGGCCACTTCTGACTCGGCAGTCCCCTGGTGCCAGCAGGCACAGCCCCATCGCAGGAGCTGGCTCTCCCCGCTCTGAAGGACGAGGCGCGGTCGCCCTGCGGCGTCTGTGACTCAGGACTCCCACGCCCACGCGCCGAGCCAAAGGGCTCTGACCGGAGGCTGCTGAGGCCGCAGGGGCAGAACAGCCCCAACCCAGACGCTTTCCGTTTTGGAAGCGGGGTGGGTGGGTGGCAGGTGGGGCCTCTCCGCACAGGCAGACAGCACCCAGACAGACGTGTGGGTGCCAGGATGTAGGTCCTGCAGGCGGGGGTACATCCAAGCACTCAAGGAGGGCTGCCGGGAAGCGGCGGCCGAGTCAGTGAGGGACACAGAAGCTGTGGCAGTCTCCGCCACGGCCTCCCTGCTAGCGCACTGACCGTGAGCCACGGGGCAGGCGTGCCCTGCGGTCACCTGCTGCAGCCGCCCAGCAGAGCGGCGCTGACTTCCCAGCCGCCCGGCGGGGCTCCCAGGAGGCCCTGGAGGAGGACTCTGCGAACGAACACAACAGGCCCCTCGGTGGCTCACCCCCTCACACAGGCCCGGGGAGCCCCTGGAGGGAAGTTCCCCGGCAGGAGCGCAGGGCGTGGGGCGCCTCCTGCCCCACCGCCAGCCTGAGTGGGCGAGCAGGAGCGAGGTGGACTCCCAGAGCAAGGGAGCAACGTCCCCCTCACCTCCCACAGCGGGCACTCCTGCAGCCAGGTCGGGCGCAGCGGCAGCCTCACCAGGCCAGACCCTGCTCCGCGTGGTGAGAGGGGCGGGCTCCGAGGCTGTGCTGCAGAGACTCTGGCCGGGCACTGCAGGGGCCTCACGGCCCTTGGCCAGCCTGGGCACCGCCCTGCCCCTGCTGCCGCTCTTGGCGGTGGGGGGGCAGCCGGAGGTCCCGGGGAGTGGGGGGCGCTGGGCCGGCGGCAGGCACCTCGGGTCCTCTCCGGCCAGCAGCACGTGCTGGCGTGCGGTCCGAGTCCACGCCCTTCCTCGCCGGTGCCCGGCCCCCCCGCCCCCCCGCATCGTGCGGGGGCAGGAGCAACTCTGGCCATTACTCAGAAGGCTAATAAAGCGCGGCACCAAGGCAGGAGTGGGGCCGGCCAGTCTGTGACAGCGTCCGCCGTGCTGGGTCCAGCCGCCCAGCCCTGAGGGGCGGCGGCCGGACAAGGCAGCAGGGACCCGGAGGGGGCCAGAACCCCGTCCTCAGGGCTCTGGGTGGTGGGTGGGCAACACCACCCCGACAAACGGAGTCGTGGCATGGGATGCACGAGGCAGGACGCAGCTGGACAGCAGGCTCCGGGCCTTTGTGTGGGCAGCCTAGGCAGAGTCACCCGGGGCAGAGACAACGGGTGACGCCGAAAATGTGCTTGTGCCATCCAGGGCTTCGGGGGCACACGGGCTGCCGACCAGGTAACCCGTATCTGCTTGGTGACCAAGGGTGGTCATCGAGACCAGGCCCCAGCCCCCCCGCCGTGACTCCAGTCTTCCAACAAGGCGTCCCACGGATCAGCTCCTGGGGTCCCCGGCTATACACCAGCCAGCAGCCCCAGGGTCATACCTGGAGGTACACCCCTCCCCAGGGTGACCGGCTTTCTGCTCCTGGTTGATCTGAAAGGCCCCTTGGAAGGTGGACGCCGATGGCGGGTGGGCCAGGCAGTGCTGGCCTTGCAGGGGAGGCGGGACTGCAGGCCACAACATGGGGCCGGACAGGCCGCTGAGGGTCAGCAGGCCCACACTGGGGCTGCGGGCTGGGCTGACACCCAGGACTGGACTCCAGCCAGGGTCTCTCAGAGCAGGGCAGAGTGACCCCGTCCTACCAAGGTCAAGCGCCCCCCCACAGCTCGCGGAAGAGGGAGATGCCGCTGCCTGGGGAGGGACGCAGCCAGCCCACTGTCCACCACGGACGGCGCGAGGGGGCACGAGGGGGCGGGCACAGGCTGGCCGGGGAGGGGCCACAGGGACTGGTGGACAGAGGGACAAAGGGCGGCGGTGCTCAGAGGCACGGAACAGGCCTGACACAGGCTGACTGGGAGCCCCACGCCACTGCGACGCCTCGGTGGCGGAGGTGGACTGAACAGTCCCTCTGGGCTCTGCCTCGGGGGTGCCTTGTCTGCTGCCTCAGGGATCGGAGAGGCAGGAGGGAGCGGCCACGGGGCGGGGTGCGGCTGGCAGGCCTGTGGGAAGGCCTGGACGGGGACCTAGGCGGACCCCTCTGAAGGACCCCCACCGCGGCGTGCCACTGTTTTTCTCTCTCTGGGCAGCAGGGGGCGCCCACCACACGCAGATGAGCCGTTCCCACGCGCCCGGCGGGGCCTAAACCCAGCTTGCAGCAGATCTTAGGTGTGGACACGCCGGAGGGGCGGCCCCTGGCCAGAGGACCTCAGGGCTCAAACAGCCCAGCAGACACACCGCTGCTCACAGCCCGCCCTCCTCCTGCTCTCCCCAGCCCCAGCCTAGGAGCAGACTACCCGGGCCTGACTGGCTGTGGGGCCCTGAGCTGGTGCCCACCTCTCTGGGGGCACCCCCCCCCCCCCGCAGGGCTGCGCCGGGTGAGCTGCAAGCAGGGACCTCTCTGTACATGAAGGGTCTCAGACATGGGTACAGCGCATGGACAGACAGGTGGGAGGTGGGGGAGAGGTAGGGTCAGATGAGGAGGAGCAGCCTCACTGGTGGGGAACGGCCACCCAGAGAGCCTGAGCTCCAGCAAGTTTCAGGACCTCTCCGAGCTTCCGATTTCCGGCCTCTAAACTGGGCATAATTACGTATATGCAAACTGGTCAGAACAGCGCAGAGTACCTACTTGTGGTTAAGTGTTGTTATCATTATCATTGTAACACCAATTACGTACATGTCCATAAAGTCCACAAAACAGGCTGGCCCACTGGAGAAGGAAAGATGCAGGGGCTGGGGGCGGGAGATCTGGGAAGGCTTCCTGGAAGAGGTGCCCACAGCCCATCAACCAGGCAGCGGCCTGGTCTTCCAGTCAGAGGGGGCAGGAGGCTCTGAGAGGCAGATGTGGGATAAAGCAAGGTATTTCTGAGCCCCAAACAGAGTCCCAGTGGGCCGAGAGGAAGCACATTTGAGGTGTCAGGGGATGATCTGCCTGCACTAAGCTGGGACCCCTGTGTCTTCAAGGCCCCATGAAGCTCCCACCGGACCCCCAGCGACCCCCTGCTGAACAGAGGCCATCACAGAACCAGAACCGGGGGGCAAGCTCGGACTGGATGCCCTGGTATGGAGGGGGGGCTCTGAGAAGGCAGGGGGACCCCTGCTCTGAGGCACTGTACCCAGAGCTTGCAGAGGGGACCTCCATCCAGATGCCAAGGGGAAGGAGGTGGGGGCAGGGAGCCAGGACTCGAGTGGCAGGTGAGAGAGACCTGCAGAAACTGATTTATTCGGGATGATGAAAGGAGCTAAAATGTTTGCAGGCTCAGCGATGACTCAGGCGCTCCAGGGGCCACGGAGCGTAAGCACCAGTCCAAGACAGGCCTTCTCCGGCAGGCCGCCAGCCCCAAGACCGCCCTCCCAGGGATGAGGGGAGGAGCCCCCCCACAGCCTGGCCCTGAGGGGCAGCAGGCCTGAGTGCAATCCCACCCCACCCCCACCGGCCAGACCCCACTAGAATGGCTGAAGGGTGACTCTCACTCCGAGAGTGGAAATCTCGGCTTCTCCCCAAATTGCTGTGTGACTCCGATAAGTGCCTGACCCTCTCTGGAGCCACATTCACGGAGTGAGAGACTCCACCAAGCCCGCCCCACCCCCACTGGGCTGGCACGTCATTCCCCCCCGCACCCCCCCAGAACCCCCCCCCACTGCCCCAGTGGCTCCTTCCAGACAGCTGTGAGCAGTCTCCTGCTGAAGACCCACAGCTCCCGGCCACGGTGCCGTCCAGGCAGCCTGGGCTCAGACCGGGATGAATCAGTCTGAGCCTGGAGTCAGGCAGACAGCGGAGGGAGAGAAAGCTGCTGCCGGGGAGGCCAAAGTGGGGAGTGGGGGTTGGGGGGCGGGCTGTGGGGCTAGGACAGGGAACATCTCCCTGGAGGAAGCAGGACAGGGAGGCGGGAGGGGCTCATGACCCAGGGAGAGGCTCGTGGGAGAGTCAGGGCAGGTCCCCCCCCACGCCCCCCAGAGAAGGCAAGGGGGAGTGAAGACTGGGGAAGGGGTCACACTGGAATCAGAGGGAGCCCTACCGCCCCTCTGCTCCCTCCTGTCTCCTCTTCCTGACTCCCCTTCCACTGGGCCCCTCCCCCTCCCCCACACACCTTGCTGGGGCCCGGAGCCTGGGCGCAGCCTGCCCCCCCCACCCCGCCACCCGCCGTGGTCATCCAGTCCAGTGGGCAGCGCATGGGCTCGGAGAGGCCCTGAGCCGCCTGCAGTGCTGGGTTCCAGTCCTGACTCCCCATGCCCAGCTCAGGGGCCAGACCCCACATTCTGGAAACCATGGGTGAGTTCACATGACTGGAGGTTAGGAG